GTAATTACTCTCAACTTCTAAATACACAATTATAGCAGATCAAGTGTTCTAGAGCCATGTCACTATGCAAGTTCCCAGCAATCTGCCTTTATGTTTTTTTTAAAAAAGTCTCAATAAGCTCATTTCCCACTACTTTGAATATCTATCTTTTACCAACTCTTGAAAAAGTAGCAGAAATATAACTGTCACAGTTGAATCATTTAATAGTACTCCAATTACTGTTCTGGATGTGTGTGAAAGCTGTAAGCCTTCAAAATGATCCAATACCACACCGAGTGGCCTATCCCTAACACAGACACCCAGCTATAGATGTGGTCTGATGCACAGGCGGCCAGCTCTGATGCCACAAAAGAGACCTCATTTATTGAAGCAGTAATTAGATTGATATGACAGTAAAAATGAGACTACAAACTATACTGGCTATTAAAACACAATATTCTTACTGCATGCATATCAAAGGTTAAATATAAAATTATCTACAATAGAAATTACACAGTATTAGAAATAGCACCCAGTGGGCTCACAAAATTAAGTGCTCCCTCAGTTAACATGGAAAAATGGTACTTACTTCTCAGTTCCGTATTCCTACACAGCCAGCTTGTCACCATCTTGTAAAAGTGGTACCTTGCCCAAGGTTTTATGATTTACTTACACCTAACATATTGCGTGAGCCCCCTGCACTGCTCTGTTCTTGCCCAGTTTCCCATCAATGGTATCTTCCCTCATCTCCTCACGAATGCTATTACAAACTCTGACTTCAGAGCCCTACAGCTATGTGATAAAACCACTAGCAGGCCTTATCTGAAAGGTTTCAAAAAACGCCTTTAAATCAGGGAAAGAAACCCAGCACACCCCACCATAAAACTTACAGCCTGCTCTCAATCACTGTACTTCCCAAGGGACCTGTCAGATACACAGAAAGATAAGGCCATGAGTTAGATGAGTTCTCCTGCCATCTCACTGCCATTGGTCCTCCAAGCCACTATTGCTCCCCCATACCATTACTGGACACAGCCCCATCACAGACTAGTTTTCTGTCTTGTCTTCCAGCCACAAGCTGGGTAACGGATTCAGGGAACAGCCTGTAAGTGCTTCTGTAAAATACCATGTGGCCAACCCAAACAAGAGGTGAAGGCACTCATATTTTATTGCCTTGATTCCTCTTGCCATCTCCACTGCTTTCTGCCCCCTTTAATGGTGGGCTATTCCCAACCTCCAAATCCAAGCTCTTTCTGCAGCTGGGCTATGATTAGTAGAGCAAATGCATTTAACCTGTCTACTGTACTTTAACTGTCTGAAAAGAATCATACACAATTTATGAACAATGCAAGAGCACAAGCTTTGTGGTAGTAAAAATGGGCCTACAACTAAATTACCTCTAATTTCTTTTTCAGAAAGACTGGAGTCTCTCTTCCCATGCATTTCATCAGGTTATGCAGTATAAAGATGTCTCTGATACTTGTAATGCGCTGCTCCACTAGCAATCTGATGAAGAAACACACAGAAGGACTTGAGCTAGAGAGAGGAACTGTTTAAACAGAGCTGTCATACCTTCACCAGAAATAGGTAGGTACCCCCACTCTTCCTCACTGACTTACTCCCAAACTAAGCTGTTATTTCCTGCTCCTCTCCCACCTCCTTTTTTTCAAGGCTGGCATATCTCTACAAGATGTGGCTGCAGCACAGATATTTTGCACATGGAAATAATGATACATGCTTTCTTAATGTTATTGTGATAGATCAGTGTTGCTACTGATACATTAACAGCCGGGGCACCTGACCAGCCTGCACATGTGACTGTGCAGATGTGAGTGCTGTTAAACTTCAAGGAATTAACACTGTTCTGCAGGCAAAAAAAAACAACCAACCAGAAAGCAGCACGTTTTTATCACAGAATCATCTCTGTGCAGGTAAGTTCTGAAGCAGCTAGCAAACTCAGGGATGGACACCACCAACTAGGTGCAAGTGAGGCAAAACACCCAAACAAGTGCTGTGGCTGCAGAAACAGAAGGCGAGATGATAACATGGAGAGATCATAAGAACAAGATAGAGTTCTGCATCCTAGCATCTCCTTTTCCAGCTCAGGAGGAGGTATTTTATTGTTATATCTGAATCACCCTTAAATATACCTGCACAGCTACAAAAATATGAAGCATTGCTAAGGCAGTGCATTGCTCTGAAATTCACCCTGCAGATGCAGCTTCCTGCAAATGGGCAAGAGCTCCAGACATCAAGAGCTGTAGATGGATGTCCTTCTTTCCACCAACTTAACAAGCAATTTGTACCTGAGCTTCCTGGAGAATCTGTTTTCTGCATATCACTAACACATCTACCTTCGCAAAACAGGACCAGATACAAAGGATCAAAAGCCAAGGCAAATTTTGTGACAGCCTCAGTAAAAACAATCTCATGGGAGTGCATAGATTGGTTACCCATGTAAACTTCCCTGGCCCAGATAAAAAATAACTACACTCCACAGCAGGCCTTGCTGGATGCACAGAGAAAGTCTAAATTTGCCTTCATTTTTAATTTTTACTTATTAAATTAAAAGAAAATATTCCCTGGCTGTTGCACAGCATTTTTTGTCATGACAAATCTAAATACTTCACAAAGCAAGCTAGTCTCATTACCTCCTTTCTACACACAGATAAAGAGTCATAGCTATGCAAAGTGACTTGATTGGCATCACAAAAAAAACACAGTACTGGAGCTGCAGTCACAATATGAATCCTCTGCAGAGCAGTCTAGCACCCAGTGTCATCGGAAGCCTTTCTGCTTGGAACTGCAAAAACAATGCCAAAAATCACTGTCTTGTACTGCTGTTATCTGACCACTGTCATCCTAAAGCCACAGCATGTCTTTTATGTGCATTCCCCCCATGATTTCTAAGACATATATTCAAACATTTAAATATGAAGAACATGTGAAAGATGTATTTTTCTCACTGTAATCCAGCTTGAAGAGCGCTCACATTCTTGTCTTTATCCATCCCTGCTAAGGTAGTTGCCAAAACTGAGATGCATCGGTTATCAAATTGATTGAGTTTCTCCTGTTAAAGTTTTCACAATGTCAGATTATTTCAGACCAGTAAAAGTTTCAGAAAAGAAAAACAACCACTCAATCCACATAACTTGGCATATGGTGCTTGCCATCATCTTCCACCCCAAGAAGTCAGTTCATGAACTTTAATACTGCAGTGAGCTACAAGGTCTCTCATCAGTCAAATTTAGTTGATTTGACAAAGGTCATGATTTTTGAGACTTCTATTAAATCCTTCTGAAATCAGGCAGTGGTTTCAAAAATTAAGGACATTGGACGTACACACCCTATGGGAGCTGTTTCCACAGAACATCAGACTAAACGAGAGATATAACCCAACTCTCTCTGATGTTGCATCCCAAAGTTAGCTCGGAGGTTTCAGCCCAAATTTAGGAGACAAGGGATTTTGATACTTACTTGGCACACCCTCACCAAAGTCTGGACCAGGAGAGTGTTCTGAGGAACACCCAGGTTCACCAGGGCGTGCAGACTGAACACCAGGTCACCCCGCATCATCCTTCGGGCATCCCGCAGCAGCTGCTGACAAAGCTTGACAAAAGCCGGGTGCTCAAAGATCAGCTGCTTCTCGTAACGCTGCTGCTCTTCAGATAGGTTTTTGAAGAGCCTCCACACCGTAGTTAAACAGTTTGTGAAGTGCTTAATGGAAACAGCGGACTCATACAAGTCCAGAGCATCACTAGGACAGGTACATTTCTGGAGACTAGTATAGAACAGTTCACTACCATGATCTGCTACGCGCTTCTCTTTGGGGCTCCCAGAATCATCTAACTTTTCAAGTTCCAAGGAGCTCTGGGGAGTCTCCTCACCTACCAAAGCCTCTGTACTCTTCTCTGGTTCTATCTTAGCACCTGTACTAAAAACATCTGTCTTTTGAGACAGAAATCGAAGAGATGGGCCACAAAAAGGAGGAAAAATATTTAATAGTAATCGCCCGAAGTTCACCTTTTCCAGAGGCTCCCTGTACCTGCAAATCCATAACACGCGTTTTCTGGTTGTGACTGAAGATTTGGGAGTGAGCACAGAATTGCACCTATGCATGCACCTTACGGTGCTTAACAAATAATTTATTTTATTATTCATTATGACTGATGCCTCATGAATAGCTCTTAAATGCCAACTCAGCATGAGGGATCAGATGAAATTCTACCAGAATAGATCCTGGAGGAACTGTGTAACACCACTCATCTGTAAAAACAATTGAAAATTACAGATTAATGACCAAACTTTCAATTACTAAAGTTTCAATTACCTAATTATGCACGACTTTTTACAGGAAACAACCAACCAACCAACCAAGCAAACCCATGAACATCTGGAAAACGATCCCTGGGAAATGATTTGCAGTGAGACTTCTACTGGATCTCTTATGCTCTAGAGATCTCAAGACAAGCCAAACTCATCCTGAGTATCCGCATTCTTTGCTGTTTTAACCAAAAGCCATGCGGGAGGGAAAGCCTCTTCCCAACAAGCGTTTCTCCTGCCCCTGGCACGGCTCTGGTGCGTCACTGCCAACTTTCAGCTCCGCTTAACAGAATCCCGCCTGGCCTGGCTGCGGCCACAGCCAACAGCCTGACCCAGCCCCGTGCCGCCGTACCACTGGCAACACTCCCATGCCGGAGGCACCAGAGGGCAGAGTTTTTCGGTTTCGGGCTCGCTTTCTGCGGGCACTGGGAACGCTGCCCAAGGGGATACGGTACAGGAGGTACGGGCCGAAGGCCCGGCGCCAGGAGACAAGAGGCCTTTCGGCGGCTCCGCACCGGCTCACAGCACCCGGCCGCAGCAGCGGGGCACCCCCCTGTCCCGCCCGGCCCGTGCCGCCCGCTGCCCGCCTCAGCCGCGCCGGGACGGGTTGCGCCGCGCACCAGACCCCCGCCGCCCGGTCGCCGTTACCTCTCACGCGGCGGCGCCATGACACCGAGGCCCCTGCCCTCCCCCCGCGCGCTCTCCGCTCGAAGCCTCGCGAGAGGGACGGCGCGGGCCGAGGGACAAACCGCCCCGGAGCGCGGCGCGTTGCCGAGCAACGCCGAAGCCACCGTTGGAGGGAGCGGCGCTCATGGCCAAGGTGGTGGTGGCAGGTGAGGCGCCTTCGTCCCGTCATGAGGGGACTGCCTCTCCTGCTGTGCCTCCCCCCCCCGGGGTGACACCCTCAGCCACTTAAACACTTGCTGAAGAGGCTGTTCTACCCCAGAAATTGCCCTTTCTTGGCTGGCTCATGTGTCTGCTCCGTTCCTTTCTTGGAACTCACAGGATGCTGGTTATGTAAAACTCTGTTAATCAGTGCGATTTAAAAGCGTTCGGTCTGTATAAGCCCTTATCAGTTAATGTCACAACTTCTTGTGTTTGTGGTGGTGTCGCTGTGTTCACAGGTAAGGCTAACTGCCCTTACTATGCCAAAGCTGAACTCCTGGCGGACTATCTTCAGGCTAACTTACCGAACTTCAGGGTTCACAAGATCACTCAGCACCCCGACAAATGGGAGGTAAGGGATTGTGAGTCACATCCTTGTGAGGTGCCCCATGGCTTGGGTCCGGCATCTCTTCTCCTGTGTTTTGATATGTGGATAAAGGTGCTGCAGAAGCAGCTTTGGATGTACAAGAGCTAGCCGGGGGAAAGGTTTGAATGTTGTGAGAGACTGGCATTCTTGTGAATCTTAGCACGAAGATGGGCACAAACTGTGGGCCAGCCTCGAGCTGTGTTTTGGCAGCAAGAAATTCAAGTTCATTATGTTTTTATTATGTATAAATGGCTGCTCATCCTGTAAATCTTTTGCACACCGTGTTTGCATATACCTTCAGAGTTGTTACTTATCAAGAATATTTCTGGCATTCAAGGGCTTTGAATGACAATGGCAGTATGAAATTAAACCTCACATACTTGTTTACGATGTGATGGGCTTTTCTGGGTACTTTTGTTGTAGATGTGTTGCCATGGCTTCACTGTAGTCCCTGTGAGGAACTGAAAAGAATGCAGTATTAATTCATGAGATAGACAGTACTATGATGTTTTGTACCTCTTATATTTTGCTTGACACCTCAGCCAAGTAACTCAAATAGTTAACTGAATAGCAATTTACCTACATTCTGCAGCTGAATAGGAATCTGCGGATTACTTGCTGCTTCACAGCATTGCTATTTTCAGTACCATTAAGACAACTAAACACAATTACAACAGTAAAACCAAGCAGAAGTTAGATCTTTTGCAGAGGTATCACAGTGAATCACCATGCCTTGCTTTGTGTTATCCCCACTACTTTGCATGCAGTGATACATAAGTTGTGAAGCACTTGATTCTATGACTCTGTGTTGACAGGAAAGAAGAATGTTTATAACTGTGACATTTAATTGTTATCAGTTGTGAAAAAGCATTAAAACCTTTTGGTGGGGATGTTTACATTAGCAGTGGCTTCATGACACCTGTGAAATGAATAGATGGGAACACAGATGTTCTCCTATCATTTGGAGAGAACTGTTGGACCGTGGAGGGAAGGGTCTGCTTCTGGGAGGACTTAATGATTTTCTGGAATACGCTCAGGTAATGAGCTGCCTTTAATACTGTAAACATATATTTTACAGCTTCTTATAACACTGTTGTTCTTTATTCATCCTTGAAATCTAAATAGAGCTATCCTTCTAATGTTACCTTGCTGTGTTTGGGTTCTAGTTTGGTTAGAGATAATCCTTTTTGTTCTTAGCACTATTACGGCATCACCTCAAGGATGTTGAGTGAGGAAATGTTAAGCATTGCTGAGGAAAACCTCCAGGAGTATATTGAAGTTGAAAAAGAGGAGGAAGAGACTAAAAATCTTATCAAGCCTTTGCAGATCTGGATCACCGGGTGAGAATAAGAAGAATATCTATGAAGTTTCACTTAGTTTCAGAAGAAAGCGCTTTTTCCTATCACATATAATAGGTGTAATCACCTAAAGTTATCTGTAATTTGCTGATTTGAATCAGGTTCTGCACCCCTCACTATGAGCATTCAGTATATAATTTAGAAATCATTCCTACTTATCTTATGTTTTGCACTGGGTTAGTTGAGGGATGTGAACAGGCAACATTTACACCCCAGTTCACCTTAGGGAAAAGCAAGTATTTACAAAATAACCTAGGAATTTTGTAATGCAACTATCTTGCATTGAATGTTTTGGGAAGTACTTAAGTAAAGTGTCTATTACAGTTGTAGCTTCAGAAATGTCTTTGTTTCTGGTAGTCCTAACAGAGCATCTTTTTAAAAAAATGTGGTTCTTTAAAGACAACAATTTTTAAGTGGTGTGTGGAATGTATAGAATGGAAAAACCTTCAAATGAAAGGAGGACTCAACTGTTGTACATTTTAACCTGTTAAAATAACAGAAGGAGTAATCCAAACTGATGGTCTGTTTAAACATAAATACAAAAGAAAGATCTTTGGTTTTATTTCTGTACTTCTTCCAAACAAGCAGTGGTTAGTTGTTAACTATAATTTTTCTATCTCACTCTCTTATCAGTGCATCAACTCCAATCTGTTATCACCTGATCCCTCTGTTGGCAAATGGAGAAGTGTTTGGCATGACCACAGAAATCAGTATCCATTTGCTTGACACTGACCAGTCTAAGGAAGTTCTTTGTGGTATTGTAATGGAAGCTGAAGACATGGCTCTCCCACTCCTCCGCAGTATTTCAGAGCACACTGAAATAAATGAGGCTTTTATTCAAGCCGATGTTGTCATTGTTCTTGATGATGTCCTCTTAAACTGTAAAGTCCAATCCCGTGAGAACTACATAAGAGAAGTGAGTGAGATCTGTCAAGTATATGCTCCCTTGATTGAGAAGAATGCCAAGAGTGAAGTCAGAGTAATTTCATCAGGAAAAACCTTTGTGAACCTTAAGGCGCTGATGATTATGACATATGGCCCGTCCATTAAGCCTAAAAATGTCATTGCCGTTGCGACAACCTGGGAAAGTGCAACTAAAGCCACACTGGCCAGGAAGCTGAATACAAATGTAGCAGGTGACTATGTGTTCTGGTAACATCTGGAGAATTCAGTGGATGGACACCTTTGGGAGTACACTGCAGAACACAGTTAATATGCACGCAGGAATGCAAGCACAGCAGTGCACCCTTTATACTGAATTGTATAGCACTAGGGAATGCCAGGATGTGACTACCATTCTCTGTGCTTACTGCTATCTGGATCTGTGCCTGATCCCATGAATGTCAGTTCTTTTGCTAACTCTTGGATGCAGCCCTGTCATTCTGATGCGTATTTCATGCTGGAAATATGCTAAGAAGGACTGAGCTGTGTTGCAGGTCCGGAACTAGCACTTGCATTTGCATTCTGAAGCACATTATTATTTTGGAGACACACAGACTATCTACGAATAAACATGACAACATACTGTTGTGCAGATAACGATAGCATAGTAGAACTATGTTGTTGTATTATTTCTGGGTAAATTAGCTTTCTTCCTCAGGTCAATTCTTATAGCTTGGTTATATTTACATGGTTCTGCGCTGCAAAGCGAAAGTGTGCTCCAAAGGCCTGCTCAGCATCAGCATTCTTTCAGTATTACAGGGGTAGGACCTGGTCATCAATGACAAGTCTAGATATTTTGGAGCCTAATAAAATAGAAAAATAAATAAATAGGCTGAATAGCCTATCAGCAGGTTACTTGAGAAATTCCTCTTGTACCAAAGTAGGGAGATATTTTTTTCTTAATAAATTTTTTTACTTAGGATTTCTATTTTTGCATTTACAGGATTTTAAAAGGAACATTGCTTTATATTTGTTACAAGATTTGTTTTGGTTTCTGACAGCTAAGTATTTACTAGGTTTTTTCTGTTACGTACAATAACATGATATAAATTTCTCTTTTCAGGAAAAGTTCTTTTTTCAGTATGTGATGAGATTCCAAATGTTATAGAGAACCCTGTTTATTTTTTCAGATCAAATGATTTCTGCTATTGAGGCAGGACACTGAACTGAAGAATAATTCATCTTGAAAGGGATTTCTTTAGGTCATATGGTCCAGCCTATGTTGTGAAAGTATTTGTCTATGTCTTTGGTAATCTATGTATTTTCCTCTATTGCAGGAGTTAAAAACGTCATTGTTTGGGGCAATATTACTGGCTCTAACTACATTGATTTGTCACATGCAAAACTTTATGGATATGACAGTGCTATTTGGGGCCCAGCTGATTTTTCACGTCCTCTGTTGAGTATGATTTATGATAGGTACAGTACAGATTTTATCTTTTTTTTAAGGTAAAACTAGATAACTGCTTTTAATTCATGGTTATCTGAACTGTATACTAAACATCAAGAAAGGTTTTTTGTTTTCAATATTTGTCCTTACTGACTAGAGCTGTGCATAATAAAGGAAAACTCAAATTGAAGTACTCGGTCTGCAACAGAAGTTGAGAAGCTGAGTTCTGACTTTCCTGCCAACTTTGTTTATAACTGTACTTTCCTACGCATTAAGTGTGCTTCTCTTCTATCATATCATGAGCTGCCCATAAGAAGTAATGGAAGTCCAGACTTCGATGTCTAGTATGCATGAAGAAACTCCGAAATAATACTAAACATATGTCTACATCTTGAGGTACCTGTATTCCATTGAACATATAGCCTAAGGGCATTAATATTGTCATTTTCCCAAAATAGACAATTTGTTCACATACGTAGAAAAGATACCTGGCACTATATAGCTTCTTGTTGAAAGTATGGGAGAAAGGGTTAGTGGTGTAGTGAGAGGCAGCAGATATGACATACACTAAGGCCTGGCTATCTGAAACTCCCACTCTGATTAAACCTAGCATTTACTGGACAGCAGGGGTTTCTTTTATTCTACACTTGTCCTGTGCCTAGCCCAGGGGGATTATGATTCATGGCTGGGTTCTTACAGAAGACAGTAATACATGTAAATAGTAATGATAGAGGTTATGACTTGAGTAAGTGACCTGACTTTCACAGGTAAGTAGTGCTTGTTGTTACCTTTTGAGCCACTGTTTTTTAGACCCTATTTTGTCTTTAGGTGCCTTGCCTTCAGCAGTGAAGTCTAAGTAAGTTTTGACTGTTTTCTTCCCTCAGGTTTAGTTCGTTCTTTTTTTTTTCTCTAGACAACTAGTCTTTCTGCAGTTGCCTTAGTTTTCCTTCTTTTTTCTTCCCTTTTTTATTGCTAGAGAATGGATCCACTCAGAATTGCAATCTGCACAGAGTTCACTGAGTTCCCAGCTCTGTTGCTATGGAGGAATGTTACCTGCTCACTCAGTGGCCACTGTACTAAGATACTGGTACCACGGCTCTCCTCCTAAGGAGATTGTTTCTGTGGGAATACGTACTGAAGGTAACTCTACTTTTGCACTACATATTCTCTTGTAGCTTTCCCCAGTGTGTATAATATTATTTTTATTCAAGATTTTTAATTTAATAAAAACTTGTAAAATAATCATGATATAGCGGGAGCCTGAGAATTTTTTTCAGCATAAGAACCTCCAAATCTAAGTAATTTTGCACTCCAGAGCTTGTGATTTGATACTCACTTCTTACAAGCACCTCTTAGGTTAATACTGTCTTGTTGCAGATTGTCTCTTAGTCTGTTAGTTTAAGTGCTTTCTGGAGTATGAGTTTTGTGCAAGGACTGTTTGTAGTTCTTTAAGCCTAAGCTATGAAAGCGTATTCTTCTTGTGTAGTTATGTACCCCAATAAATGGAAGGTTTCACAACAGCCATTTGACTCTTGTATGAAATTAAAAAAAAAAAAAAAAAAAAAAAGGAAAAATCCCCCTTTTTAAGATGTAAAATTAACAGCAATTGTGTTACAGCACAGGAAAGATATGGACCTGTTGGAGTTGGTCCAGAGGAGTGCCACCAAAATGACCAGAGGGATGTAACACCTCTCCTATGAAGAAAGGTGGAGAGAGCTGGGGTTGATCAGGCTGGATAAGAGAAGGCACCAGGGGGACCAGATAGCAGCCTTCCAGTACTTAAGGGAACATATAAGAAAGATGGGGACAGACTTTTTAGTAGGGCCTGTTGCAGTAGAGAAAGGGGTAATGATTTTAAGCTAAAAGAGGGGTGATTTAAACTAGATATAAGGAAGAAATTTTTTAAGACATTTATTAAATTTATTAAGAAATAAGGGTGGCGAAAACACTGGCACAGGTTGCCCAGAGAGGTCTTGGATGCCCCATCGCTGGAAATATTCAAGATCAGTTTGGATGGGGCTCTGAGCAACCTGATCTAGTTGAAAATATCCCTGGTCACTGTAGGGGGTTGGACTATATATCTTTTAGAGGTCCCTTCCAAACAAAACTATTTTATGTTTCTATGATTAATGTAAATCTCAATAAAACAAGAAGTTACAGTAAAAAGGGAATGCAGTGTCCATTTATACTAAGATCTTACAGTTGCAGACTTTTGCAAGTGTCTTTTAATCAGAAATAATACGTTTGGGTCATATTTTCCCTTCTCTTCAGGTCAGTTTTGTGTTCCTGAAGGTATTGTCTTCTCTATGCCAGTGAGGTTCCAGAATGGTAACTGGGAAGTCATGACAGAATTTAAAATCAATAAAAAGACCCGAGAAGTTCTGGGATGCTTAGCCCATGAGCTGATTCAGGTGACGATTTCTTCTAAGAATATGCCCATTCTGCCATCTATGGGTACCTCCCAGTATAATTTTGAATACTGAGACCTTGACACCAAACATTAGACAAACTGCACATATGCACTTAAGTATAATAAATGCAGGTATTTATAAGTGTAAGGTACTATTAATATATTGAAATGAACAGACGACTGTTCTGTTGCCCAGAAAGGAAATGATAAGTTTACTTATGTGAGTGTAGAATTTGCACCCCAAGTTCTGCAAGCTTTGTGCAAAACAGAAATATGAGCTTTAATTTAATGTTTCTACATTCCATGTTGCTGATGTTGATTTTGTTTGTGTAATATTCAGAGTAGTTTATATACGCCAGGAGACATATCTTTGGGATCTTTATAGCTGTGACTCTGCATGAATGAAGGGCAGATGTCATTAGAATTAGGGATTTTTCAGAAAATACGAAATTGGCGGGAAATAATTTCATCATGGACTTCTTGGCACTTAGTGAGACAAGAATAATTTAAGTTGACTAAATTTAAAATACTAAAAAGACTGGTCCCAAGCTCTACATTCTAGCTTCTGTCAGATTTCAGGATCTTCAGTCATACTAGTAACATGCAAGGATTATTTGATTGTAACATATTTTAAGTTTGTGCTACAAATTAGAGTGGATGAAAAGAATGAGTGATAGTAAAGCTGTGTTGTTTGGTTTGGGTTTTGTTTGTTTGGGTTTTTTGTTTGTTTATCTTTTAATTTTTTTCTCCTCCATTCTTTCCATTCTTCCATTCCATTATTTTTTTTCCAATAGGAAAAGCTCGTTGCACTAAAGGAAATACAAGAAATGCAACCATACGGAGGTGATAAAATCACTGGTTAAAAATATTTACGTCAGGGTGAGTTTTTCTCCCCATAAAAGATCAGATCAAATTTTAAGTGTGAATTTAAGTAATGTATTCTTATTTTCTGTCCCTTCCATTTAAAATAGATATAAAATCATTCAGAAATGACTATAAATACAATGTGTTTGTCTGATGTATCCTGACTATGCCTGGGACATGGTGATAGTAGGGGCAAGCCTGCATGGTAGCAGGCTTGTTTTGATAAGTTTCTTTTGTGTCATTCACAGATCATGAATATAAAATCTGAGTATAAAGAATACAGTTAGCATTACACATTTTATCTTAGGTTATTAGTAAATATAAAATTTTTTAAGCCAAGTGACTCTCATTAGAAAAGCACGTTTTACTAAATGTCCTACTATATGTTTTTGAAGCTATTTTTTACTATATTTTACTATTCTGTACTATCTAGAAATCAAGAGTTAAATTTCTAACAGAGGAAAAAACCCTTGTAAACTGGAACTCAAACATCTTATTTTTCTGTTTGTTACAGTACCAAATAGTTCATTCAATATCTTTAGTCTATAAGCCTGTCAGAAGAAGAAAAGGTTGAGACACCCAAAGACAATAGGCTAAAAAATGATATATTCCTACTTTCTATAGAGAAGGCAATCTCAGTAAGTGGCAGCCACATCTGCCACTTCTTCCAGTTACAATAGATGAAAAACCTTTTAAATATCCCTACATTATAAATTATGAAGCTATTTCCTTTGGTTGTTAATGACACATCAGGTTTATCTTGACTTAAGTTTTTGAAATTGCAATGATGTGAGAAATTGCAACTAAAATTCTATAGAACAACTCCAATATCCCTTCCTAATACTTAGAAGCATGTGGAAAAGCTATAGGCCACATGATACTGCCAAGTTCATTTCCTGAGATGCCCTGCGTATCGCTTTACATATGTAAGTATTTAGGAGGTTGGCAAAAATGTGTACTGTTTTTGCTCTTCTTACAGAGATGGAAACTTTGTCTGCTGTCTTACCTTGACGAGAGCTGTCTGGAGGAGAAATGCTGAAAGTTCCCATACTAAAATGATGTTTTCCATTGCTCAAAGAAAGGCTAAACATTGTCACAGTTTTTACAGTGTCTTCCTTGTTAAAAACCTGGAAATCTGTAGGAAGAAAAATGTTTCAAAAGTGTGAATATAACATTCTTTATATGGAGCCTTTAATGAGTCTAGGATTTCTACTTCTTCAGACCAGTAAAACATTTTGAAAACATCATTTAATGTCTAAAATGTTCATATTTTGACAATTCAGAGCAAGATTGGGAGTAGCACATAGGAGTAGCAGTTTTATAACTCCAGATTTATGTCTCAGATGTAACGAAACACAGTACTGTATAAGAATATGTATCCTCAGGCAAAATTGGTATTTAACACAAAAATTTAAGTGCATACAACTCCTTAGTGACAAGACCATTTTTGTCTCATGTTTCTTATTTATTTCATGAGTTTCATAGGGACTACTCATATGTTTTAAGTCAAACATGGAATTAATTAAGTCCTTGTCTAAACAGAATTACTGATAAACCACTTGCACTTGAATGTCTTTGGTGTCCTAAAAGATGGAGACTGTTAAATGAAATATTATTGTAGTTGCTAATTTTTTATCAGATATGTTTAAAGGAAAATAAAAGGTTTCCTCTTCTTTGAATCAGGTATAAATAGTTGGAATAAATGAATTATTTCTGTTCAAGTGGAGGTTCAAACTCTGAACAGGGGTAGACTTCTTCTTATGTGAGGAAACCATGAGGAGTTTATTTGCTATTTATTAGCTGATGTGGACAGAATTAGAAGGGGAGTCTCACTATTCTTAGGAAGAGGAGATCAGAAAGCTGGGGTATCACAAGGGAGTTGGAAGAGTGTACTCCTTACTGTATATGAAATGTGTATGGGAGAAGCAACATGTACAGTATCTGATATATTGTTACAAATATCTTCACGAAAGAGTTCATGTGGGAGTTGTAGAGAGAAGTGTTGTTAAAAAGTCTTGAAGAAAGTGGTTAGGAATCATTCATTTCAGGAAGAAGCAGTCTTCAGAGAATTAGTTTCTAGTGGTGTACGCACAGAAAATTGTCTGAGTCTCTGAGGAGCATCTGGAGCCAGATGTCTTAGGGGAGCATAGCAGGGAAGTATGCTACCCTGTAGTCTTTACAAACTACTTGTTCTGTAGCTCCTTCCCAAGACAGAATAGGAAAAGTGAACTTCTCTAATGTATATTTACACTTGTGGTTGTTGGTTTGTTGTTTTTTTTTTCTCTATATGGAATATGATTTGGCAGTCGTTTACTCTTTGAATTCTTTGGAGGAAGTAGTTCAAACAAGCTGCAATTCAAGCACCAACACTGCATAGCTCTTAATGAGAAGCAGATGAACCGTTTCTGCAATACATAAGCAGCCACATCAAACTTCTGGGTCACTACCTGAAAACCACAGGCAAAGAATTTTTTCTCAGAGGTTGGGAGGAGAAAGGCAAAACAAATGTCTTGGATGTCTCTTGTATCCTAAGTTATTCTAATTAGATTTGCCTCATGGCCTGCAGGGAAATTCAGGTCTTTCCTCATGGAAGTATAATAGAATGGAGAAGTTTCTTTACCTATCTTTTGCTTAGGAGAGAAAGAAAGAATAAAAATAATAGGAAAGCTAAAATATTCACAGTTGGTTACAGTTGTAGCACAGCCTGACTTGGTCATCACTAAGTTTGGTGCTTCTATAAGTAGTAAGTAAACGGTACACATTTTGTCACAAGTTACTGAGTAATGATACGTATGTAGGATATTCATAGCACTGATGAATCCTACTTACCTGTACTAGAGTAACTGTTGAAAAATGTACGAAAAGGGGCTTTAAGAGAAGTGTATGTCTCACAAATGTTATATGTATGCTGCATAAAACACTAGCATTTGGATATACTGATGAGTGTGTAAGCTTTATGTTTGGCCTAAAGATTTCTTACTCTAGGACATTACCACTAGGACTTACTTACTAGTTTCCTTCTTTGTGTAGTTGCACCATTTGCTATGGCACACTGTGCTTTCTGTATTATTGTGCCAGCTTCCACCTCCTTTTCAGTCTCTATAGCAACACTGTTTCTCAGCAACTGGGAGATGCTTAGTAAAGGTCCTTCAATTTAGAAATATTGCACTCTACCCATAAGAAAAAATTGCTTTGAAACAGAGATCAAAGGAGTTTTATCTTTAATAATTCAAGATATTTATTACTAATTAATTAGTGTTCTCTGTTTTGACTGCTTAGACATTACCTGATACTTTGATCTGGGCCTTTGCCAGGCATTTGTTGTGAAGAGCATTCGTTGAAAAGCAAAACCTTTAGAACTGTGTCTTGAAGTCAACTTTAAAGTGCTATAAAACTAGGCTTTCTCTGGCAGTGCTGTCTGACTTCTGGGCCTTTAGTAAGTAGCTAAGAGAAAGGTAAGCACTGTTACTGTATTTAAGAGAAGGCAATAATTTCAGCCTTTGAACAACATCGAATGTTCTTACCCTTCACAGGAAACAAAAGTAATTGTAGTTTATTTTATGCATGTTTGTATGTATGTTTTATGTATGTATGATCATATGCTGTCTGATTTCAAAAGAAGGAAAGCCCCTGTGATCAAGTCAATCTATTGGAAGATTTCTTCCTTACTTTATCTGGTCTGGCTTTTTCTGTACTGTAACTTAATTATGTAGCATACTTAAAAATTAATTTTATTTGCTAAAGTACATATGCTGAGAACTTATATAGGTAAACTAAATACATGTAAGTGATCAAATGTTGCTTTTCTTGCACATTCCAATGGGATTAGAAAATAAGTCTACTCTTGTTCTGCACATGAGAGTATTTGTGTTAATGGGATTGGGGTTTCTAATTCTAAAAATTTACTTCCTGTCCATTGGTAGTTACTTTTAAAAGTCTGCTTCATTTTGTGGAGTGGTTTTAATTATTAAAGGGCACATGTAACTGAAATACAGCAACATACTGGCTGAAATAGTCTATCAATGAGCAGAATTAGTTTATAGTTAATGGCAGGCAGATACTACTTCTACTTTCATGTTATGTTCATTATAAAGTATACGTCTTAACACTGAAGTAGACACTGTTCATGTCACCCAAGCACTCCTACTGCAGTCAAGAGCTGGACTCTCCATAGACTTTTGTATATAAAAATGTAGACTTCACCTATGTTAATAATGCCTTTCATAATTTTCTGGAGGGGAGGGTTGATGGGAAATGATGTTATGTTGCACAGTGACAGCCAGTTTTGTGAAACACATGAACACATACTTAACTTTGAGACCACGAATACCCTAGTACAAAAGTATGGTAGTATATCTATATGGGTAATTTAAAGGTTAGGCATTGTTCTGTACTGGATAGAGAAATTGTCATCATAACGTAAGTATCAAATACAAATAGTTTATGCATGCTCTATAACTCAGTCAAGTCAGTGGATCTGTTCTTATTTGAGTGAGCAAATTCTAATGACTGAGTTCTAATTTAAGTGAGTTTAACTTATGTATTTTATACATTTATCCTCTTGCTTTGTTTTATGTAGCTTTGGTGGAGGGCAAAAGAAGGAGGAAAACATGAGACAAAGTGTGTGTTTGTAAGTCTATCCTTTAGTTTGCTACATGTAGCTTTCACTAAACACTTATGTTTAATTCATTGCTTAGAATCTTCTGATTTCACTCATTTCCCTATATTGACTTTTCTGTCAAGCTGTGCAGAGGCATATACTACTGCACCTATTTTAGGAGTAATTGTGTCAGCAAGTTACATGTGTATGTAAATTTTGGGCAGAACTGTAGTCTTACACAATCCAGGGTTGATTCTAAACCTTAGTAAGGAATTAAATAGAGGAACAGTGAAAAAGAAACATAGTGGTAATTCTATCAAAAAAGGACTTCAATAAAAATTGTAGTCTTTAATGAAGAAGTTATTAAAGCAAATCTGTATCCCATCATTTTAAAGTATTTATAGGTTATTTAGAAACTGAAACACAGAACTGCAGCTATCGCTAATTAAAATGGTGAGAAGCATATTTATGACAGACTCAATAATTACAGATCATTGAATATTTATGCTTCATAATTGGCAGGTATTCTGTCATGTTTATGGCAAATGATCAATGACTCTTACTGGAAGAATGTAATAAAGTGAACATTTGAGGAAGCTCAGTTTTAATATCAAAACAAATTTATTATTTAAGCCTTAGATAGTTTTCATCTATTGAATTTTTATTTATTCTAGCAAATTGCCTTTTTTTTCCCCCACTATAAGCCATATATGTGGCCTTTTGTAACTTAGATCTGTTATATCTAATGTTTTTCAGCTGTAACATTAACTGATAGTTACTGGACTGAATGAATATTAATATTTTAATGTTTAAAAATATATTGGAGTTTCAAGTGCTAATGAAATAAATCCTGAAGATAGGCTGAGAAAGTTGGGGCTGTTCAGCCTGGAAAAGAGAAGGCTGCATGGAGATGTCATAGCAGCCTTCCAGTATCTGAAGGGGGCCTATAGGGATGCTAGGGAGGGACTCTTCATTAGGGACTGTAGTGATAGGACAAGGGGTAACAGATTCAAGCTTAAACAGGGGAAGTTTAGATTGGATATAAGGGGGAAATTCTTTCCTGTTAGGGTGGTGAGGCACTGGAATGGGTTGCCCAGGGAAGTTGTGAATGCTCCATCCCTGGCAGTGTTCAAGACCAGGTTGGACGAGGCCTTGGGTGATTGGTTTAGTGTGAGGTGTCCCTGCCCATGGCAGAGGGGTTGGAACTTGATGATCTTAAGGTCCTTTCCAACCCTAACTATTCTGATTCTATGATTCTATATTCAGTTTTTATTAGGGACATCATTATTTTTGCTTTCAGGGTTGTGTGAAGAAGTGGATTCATGGGTATGGTTCTTTTCTCTCCTCCTTCTCAGTCCCAAAAGAAATAATGTTGGCTCAGCTGAAAACTTTAGTTCTTTTTGAAAATTTTAGAAAATAGATTTGTGACTAATTGTAATCAATGAATCTTGGGAAGAGTCTCGTGTAAAGGTGCCCTCTCTGGCCCTGAATTTATAGACTATGGATCGTGTAGTAATCCTATTTGTAAACACTGGACACTTCAATACTGGAAGATCCCATTTCCTGTACTTGAAACTATTTTGGGGACTGCTTTTGCCTTCATACTGTTTTGCAGTTACTAGAATTACTCCTACTTTATCCTGAGCAGACAACATGCAATTTTCTGGAGCTTCTCTGCACTTAGCACTAAAATGGTCATGTTGTTTTATGTAATTCTGTTTAGTTTCTTTTCTGGAATGCCTCCAGTAACTGTTCAGATTAAAAGGTTTGATTTGAATGGTTTGATATGTCTTTGCCTAGAAAATGTGGGTTTTCACTTTAGTTTATTTCGTTATAGAATGCCTAATGCCATCTGTTCGTTTCCAATGGATCCAGACTTGCAGGGTAAGGATTTTAATCATTTTATCCCAACTTTTCTCAAGAAATATCTGTCTGTTTGAACAGAAACTACTGAACTATAATGAAATCATACAACTTTCAGAATCTCTGTGTTGTATCACATAAATGACAAAATACACAGCTGTGATGTCCCACCTTTATTTCTGGATCTGTCCTGGTACCTTCCTTGCTGTTATTGTATGGGCTCATGGAATGGTCAGGCACTCAGGAGCCATGTTCTCTGACTTACAATGTCTCATAAGGGTTTGTTTCACATATTCTTGAATAGGCATGAAGGGTGGCCATACACTCCCTTCCTGAGTGCAAAATCTTAGCAGACACTTCATCTGCTAGATAACGAGTAATGCAAAATGGAGAACTAGCAGGTAATCAGCTGGAGATGCTGGGAAACAATGTATCGTATCTGTGTAGGAATTCCTTTGCCAGCTTCTCAACAAAGGGCATTTATGACTCTTGAAATTTGTCCTGCTGCAGAATTATTACATGCTTGTTTTCTGTCCAAAGGGGAAGCTTCATTGCTATGAGAAATGAAAGTTCAGTGTCCCTAAATAGCCTCTCATAAAAACTAATCCTAAAATATTTTGTATTTTACTTGGTCTTTTTTTTTTTATTTTCTCTGCTGTTTTACTTGTGTGTTCTCACAAGCTAATTCTGGAACTGCTTGACAGGCACAGAATGCCCTACTTTGGGGCCACATTTTATCTGTAAGGGTGGACTTGAAGTGAGTAGCAGATGGCTACTGAAACAGATTCCCTTCACTTAGTCATCTTGCACATGGAAGGTGTTTGAGTTGGATCATGTGTATGTTTCTAGCATTTGTATTTGAAAATAATCATTTGGAATTTAATCCGTAGCCTACTGAGAACTCTGGGAGTCTTTCTGTTACTTTGAAAAGAGCGTTGGATTCAGGTTACTGAAGAAAGAGAACTGGTGATGCATGGAAGTCACAACCGATTTTTCACATTGTATGACATGCTACACTACATCTCCAAACAATATCTCAAAACATAATACGACATGAGCAGGACTAAAAGATAGTATAGCAGGTATTGGCTTATTTCTATATCTTAGGCAGCATCTGGGAAGCAGCAGAGCCCATAATTTGCTGACTATTAACATTAGTCTGGTACATTTGTAGGAAACCATGACACACAGATTGGCTTATTTCCAGACTAAACAGGTCCAGAGTTTCTGAGTTATTTCTACTCAGTTATGCATATTTGTTGTTTATCTTTGACCTTAATCAACTGTGAGTAACTCTTGCTCTCTGAAGTACAGGAAGAAAGAGTCTCTTAGGACAGGAGGATAACTGACAAACCCCTTTCTAGTTTCTAAAGCTTTGTGAACAAAGCTTTTTAAGCCTTCACCTCCCTCCCCCCTTTTTGTGTGTGTCTTGGAGTTCTAGGAATGGGTGTAAAGTATCAGGTATAAGCCGTTTTTAGAAGCCCTTGCTTTCCACTCTGGAAAACATACTTCAGTGATGTGACAGAAATGAGCTGAAATCATAGAAGGCTATGGGATTTAGTCAGGCAGTTTGGGTGAGATTACTAAGCAGAGATGTCAAAAGCCAGTTGTTCTGGTAAATTGTTTTTCTTCTGTGAGAGCCCCAGATGTTAATTTTGACAGAAAATTTGTTTAATGCTGGAAACACAGGCTTTCAAAACAATAATCCTGCTGTGCAAACTGACAAACTGTTCCTTGTACAAGAGCATCTCTGATCAAGAAACAGTGTTGGCTGAAGAAATATAATTTCATTTTGATCTTGGCTTAAAGTATGCACAGTGCATATCCTTTTTTCTGGTCCATGGATAGACTTGATTCACAAAGAAGCAGGTGTGCTCTATAGGTGCACCCAGGCACAGCTACAGGGTGGGCAGAGAAGAGATTCAGAGCAGGCCTGTGGAAAAGGACTTGGGGGTGTTAGTTGATGAGAAACTTAACGTGAGTCGGCTTCAGTGTGTGCTTGCAGCCCAGAAAGCCAACCGTATCCTGGGCTGCATCAAAAGGAGCATGACCAGCAGGTCGAAGGAGGTGATCCTGCCCCTCTGCTCTCGTGAGATCTCACCTGGAGTATTGTGTGCAGTTCTGGTGTCCTCAACATAAAAAGGACATGGAACTGTTGGAACAAGTCCAGAGAAGGGCCACGAGGATGATCAGGGGACTGGAGCACCTCCCGTATGAAGACAGGCTGAGGAAGTTGGGGCTGCTCAGCCTGGAGAAGAGAAGGCTGCGTGGAGACCTCATAGCAGCCTTCCAGTATCTGAAGGGGGGCTATAGGGATGCTGGGGAGGGACTCTTCATTAGGGACTGTAGTGATAGGACAAGGGGTAACGGGTTCAAACTTAAACAGGGGAAGTTTAGATTGGATATAAGGAAGGAGTTCTTTAGTGTAAGGGTGGTGAGGCACTGGAATGGGTTGCCCAAGGAAGTTGTGAATGCTTCGTCCCTGGAGGTGTTCAAGGCCAGGTTGGACAGAGCCTTGGGTGGCATGGTTTAGTGTGAGGTGTCCCTGCCCATGGCAGAGGGGTTGGAACTTGATGATCTTAAGGTCCTTTCCAATCCTAATTATTCTATGATTCTGTGATATGTTAAATACTATTTTTACAACCCATCATGTCACTGGTTATAAGACCACTTTCCCCACAAAGCTATCTCATCAAGTGCATATTTGGTTCTTTTGATTTTTAGTTAAATAATTTGTTGTGTTGTTTTGTTTTTTGACAAACTACCATTGTAACGTGTGTTTTCTTTCACAGAGGCTTTCAATGATGTTCAGAGCTCCATCTACAGAACAGCCCTAAAACTACGCTCGGTACAAAGTCTATGCCAGTGTTAGTAGCTGAAGAGAATCCTGTGCTTTGACAATAAGAATCTGTAACAAAACTTGTACTGCTGTCACCATGAGTTATTACGCTACTTTTCTCTCTCATTTTCCACCTGAGATTCCCAGAATGTATTACAAGCACTTAAGAGCTACATACTACTTCAAATCGATTTTTCCCCCTTTTGAATGTCAGTGGAAATACATTAGTAAAATTCTAAAGGCATGACAAAATCAAATTCTTATTACAATCTGCAACATTGCTATGTAGACATCACTGGCAATTATGAATCGTTATCTGTATATTCTTATTCTTGTTAAATGTCAAATTCTCATGTGTTTCTTATGAGTCAATTTATTGGAAATGATCATGGATCATCAAAAATGCATTGACATAAATAATTATTAATACTATAAGTATTAATGAGAAAAAATTAAATGTGGTAGAACACAAACCCCACACTCATTCTCCCTGTCACCTAGCTACTGGGTGTAAATTCCAGATTAAGCTAAAATGCATGGAATTCTTGAATTTTCCACCTGAAACTGTCTTTTGCTGAAAATGCACAACACTGTAAGCGATGTCTTCATAGAATCAGAATGGTTTGGGTTGGAAAGGACCTTAAGATCATCTAGTTCCAGCCCCCCCTGCCATGGGCAGGGACACCTCACACTAAATTGTGTCACCTAAGACTCCGTCCAACCTGGCCTTGAGCGCTGCCAGGGATGGAGTATTCACAACTTCCTTGTGCAACGCATTCCAGTGCCTCACCACCTTCACAGTAAAGAACTTCTTCCTTATATCCAATCTAAACTTCCCCTGTTTAAGTTTGAACCCGTTACCCCTTGTCCTATCACTACAGTCCCTAATGAAGGTCCATCTCCAGCATCCTTGTAGGCCCCCTTCAGATACTGGAAGGCTGCTATGAGGTTTCCATGCAGCCTTCTCTTTTCCAGGCTGAGTAGCCCCAACTTTCTCAGTCTGTCTTCATATGAGAGGTGTTTGAGCCCCTTTATTATCCTCATGGTCCTCCTCTGGACTTGTCCCAACAGTTCCATGTCCTTTTTATATTGAGGACACCAGAACTGTACAGGATACTTCAAGTGAGGTCTCACGAGACCAGGGTTGCCCAGAAAAGATGATTAGTCTGTTGGTCTTGGCCATATTTTTGCATTTGGGCATGCCCTTCTATAAATGTATTTAGTCTGATCTCAGCTTGATGTAGTAAATCTGCCTGGTGCCAATTCGCACAGCTTTATATGAGCTCTGTTTCCTACTCCTCCATGTCTCCTGTAAGCACTCCTAGCATCTGTCCCATTTACTCTCCTCCTCCTTGAACACTGGTGACCAGAATTGCACATGGTTTTCCAGACTGAGATTCACCAGTGTTTCACACTGATATTTTCCCATCTGCGTTGGAAAGATCATAGGACATATTCTAGGTTCTCTGCTTCTTCTGGAGTCTACGAAATATCTATCTATATATAGAATTAAAGTTAAGTCTATAATTTGGATGCAGTTAATCATGCTATTATCCTCTATAATTTGGTTGCAGTTAATCATGATATTTTATTCCCTTTATATCTATCCCAAAATCAGATCCAGGGAATTTTATCTCAGCTGTTCTATCTTTGTAGCCTCACAAGTTTTGCTACATCTATAGACAACAGTACCTTTCCTAGATTATTTCTTTCTAAATACTGCATGCTGTTTTAGACTTTATCTAACAGACTTGTCTTAACTAGACACTTCTAATAAAAAAATAGTTGAGCTTCCATTCATTAAAAGGCAGGGATTCTCATTCATTTCTCCCTTAATTTTTCCACAGTGGATTTGATTGATGTTTCTCTGATTCAGCACGCCCTGTCAAGTGAACAGAGCCAGAGGGAAAAGCAGATTTCTCTGAAAGTGCAGCAGATCTCTGGAATGCTGACAGAACTGTTCCAAAGGGCGAGGTTAGAAAAACCAGGCCAGGTAGATCTAAGAGGTGCTGATTTCACATTGAGCCTGCTAGCTGCCATGTATGACAGGTGAGAGGAAGCACAGATGTAAATCCATCACAAAGTATTGCTAGGCTAAATCTGTTTCTATCACTCTCATACCATTTTGGTATCAAACTTTTACATTTTGTTGATGTTTTTCTTATATACACAACAGGAGTAGTTCAGCTATAGCAATACAAGGCACAAAGCTTTATCAGAGAAAGTGGTCAAATGTTTCCAAAATTATCTAGAAGCCCAGATTTCTGCCAGTCCATGCTAACGTTTTCTGTAAACAGTTTTACAGGGAGTAGCTCTTCTTTTGGCTGCCAAGATTTTTTCATATAGTCCTGAAAAAGAATGCGTATTTGCCTTTGAATTATAGTACCCGTAGAAAGGTCAAGAATTTGCTAGTTACTTTTCATTATTCATTTTTCTCCAGCTTAAAAAGTTCATCAGCTAATTATGAAACAAAAGTACAATCTCATAACTAAGTTGATCAGCTAACTCCTGTGAAGAGCAAATAGTTTCTGTGAATAATAAGAAAGCAGCTCACAGAGTGTACTTACCTTGTGTATTGTTTGTGATTAATGAATTCATTGACCAAACATGGGTTGGGTTGTGACCCATTTAAAAGACAAAGGCTAAGTTAATTTTGTAATTTATTCACCACAGGTGAAATTTATTCCCTTCTACATCAGAACAAAGTTTCTTACAGAAAGTGAGATGTGAGAGGTCTGCAGGACTTTTTATTCAATCACTGGTCATTAATATGATCACTACTGCTTATGGTCCTATGTTGTGGGGATTTTTTGTATTTAAAAAATCAATTAAGATTAAGAATAAACGTGTATTATGAAACAAAGCTAGAGACATCAAGAGTATGTTGTAATTTGTGTGCACTGTATGGAAATGATTAAAAGAATCTTCTTAACAGGACTATCTTGGTCTTTTTTCTGGTTTCTTAGGACAGTGTGCAATTTTACTATTGCTGTAATTACTTTAAAATAAATTACAAGTTTCTTCACATGTATGTAGGCTAGAAAAAGTTTATTATAATTTTCTTCTAATCAGGGCATCTCTGTAGAGTGCTGTTGTCCACTGTAAACACTGGAACGTATTTAGTGGCAAGAGCACATAAGGACTTTTCCCCATTTTTGTGGCGTCTGTCTTAGTAAAATTCCATAAACCATCATGAGGAGTTGTGTTTGTGTACTTTAGTTTTAATCTTGGGCATTTTTTCTATGAAAGTTATGGAAAAACTCAATATATAAATTCAAAATCTATAAGATTTTGACCAGCAATTTCCCATGCAGTCCATAATCTAGGAAGTGTATCGTAGTTTTATGCAGTATGCTCTTGAAAAACACAATTTAGCTAAAGACATTTGAAGACAATTTTCTGTAATGGTATTTTGAAGTGCAATACTGCTTTGCAAAAGTAATATCTTAAATATAGAATTCCAGGATTTCAATTCATGTCTGCTTTGTTTTCACATTAAAAAAAAAAATGTTTTTCTATTAGGTGCCTATGTCGCAAAATTGGGTTCTAAATTAAGCTACATTCTTTGTGGTCAGACACTCAAAACTGAAGTCTTGCTCCTGCATATACCCTTTTGATAAAATTGAGTTGCAGTTAAATTAAAGGGAATCAGCCCAAGACTGGCTCAGTGCTGGGGCTGCCTGATGTTATAATATAAACCCAGGATTATAATCCTGCTTTCTCTTTCATATTTCAGAAGGCTTTCCACAAATGAAGAGCAGATTTTTTTTTTTTAGGGCATGTCTGTAAATGAAATGAAAATGAAATTTTACCTGAAATGTGAGGTCTTTGAAGGAGATGCTTTCTTTTTGTTTTATGATTGCATGGCATCTTGAACAGTTAACTCTAGCTACATTCAGTGACAAAGGGTCCTAGACATAAAATATCACTAAAATGTGACATTAGTTGTGTAGATATAAAAGGAGAGGAGTCTTAAAGTTTTCTTCAACATAGCAATATTTTTTCTTCAGAGGTTTCAGTTTTTACATTCTCAGTGATTGTAGTGTATCTTATTTCATTTTCCTAGATCTGGAACAGGTTATATCAAAGCTAGATCTGCTGCAGCTGCCCTAATTGCCCTTTCAGGAGACACTTTACTGGCTAAATACAGAGGTGGGAAATGTATGATTTTATACACTGCCTGAAATACTGAACATTGACAAAAATCTCCATTGTGATTTTTTTAATTTAAAAGAGAATACTGCTCTGCCATACAAAGAGTAAACTATGTTGACTGCTTAGAGAAAGGCTGATGCAGGAGAATACTTTTTCATCAATATCCTTAGTCATCTTTGCATAAAGATGAATAAAGATCAGAACAAGTCATAGTAAAGTTTAAGATAAGTAGAGCTTAAAAATGAAGGGCAAGTTCTTTTTGCCTAGCAGAAAAAAAACAGAAAGTCCCTAATTTCAAATGTCATTGAATTAGAAAGCAGTTTTATATGTTTGATCCAGGAAGCTTTTTAACATTAGACAAAAACGCTTAAAAAGACTGAGTAAAACAGATAAAGGTAGTCCAATGCAATGTGCAGCACAAAGATTTCTGCTTGGATTAAATGCTCAAAATGGAGAGCAAATGGACCACAAGTGGTGTATTGGCCTCATACTCCCTCACTGCATACTGTGTAGTTCCTTCCAAATAACAATTGGAATTAACAATTCACAATTTAAATAGGACCTATCTTGTATAAACAAATTTAAATTTTTTTGTTACAGCCATGAAAATTTTTCCTTCATCCTTACCTGTCTTCAGTGCCAGGAACTGGCATATTATTGTCATAATATCCTTGCTTTCTTTCTCTTTTACCTGCCTGTAGGAAGAAATTATTGTCACTGAACACCTGTTAGATAGACATTAAGGGGAACTTCCTTGAGGGGTTTATTTGGTAGACTGCAGTCATCATGTAGATAGTTTGAGAATGAGTAGCTAGAAGACACTTCAGGCTCTGCCAGGATTTCAGTTTCTTTCCTCTGGTTGTTTTCAGCTTTCTTCCAGTTTTATGCTGTCCCTGAAGGGAAGATGGCCTTGATCACCCGTAGTGCCCTGAGAAACCTACTAACAGACTTAAATCAGGTAATGCTACAGCAGTACTGTTACACAACAGATCTTGAAGGAGTATCCTAATCTAAGAGAAAAAATACATGGTTTTATATCCAGTTACATTACCAGATTAAAGTCAGTGAGGCTCTGTGCAGACATTAGGAGCTACCATGAGAAGTAGATAAAAGAAGCAAATTCTACAGCTTTTCTCAGCCAGTGTCACCAATTGCATCAGTGCCTCTGTGCATTCATTTTCTCTGGAGCTTACATGTCCTGGGAACAGCTGCATACAGCTGTTCCTAAAGTGACTTCAAACTTCGGATGTTTGAACTCACCAGAATAGCTTGCAGTTGCAGAAAAATGCCTTAGCATACATGTATTTCCAGCTGAACTGGTGCTGAAAATGGGATCTGAAAATGACCTCTGTGGTTAAAACCCAGTGTCCTTCAGTATTCTAGTATAGCAACATAACATGTTGATCCATTTCAGTAAGTGAGCTGGAAGCAAATCATTCTGACACATACTTAACTATGAAATTGCATGCTGATGGTATGAATATGAACAGGATTTTTTCAGAACAGTGTGTAAAATGGCATTTCTATAGATACTTCACCATCTGTGTGCTGTCACCATCTCAGCAGAGCATGATGGGAACATCTGCTTTTTATTGAGGTGTTTTTGAGCCTTTCTTCTTGATGCAGATACCAGCCATTGTGGGAGAAGGCTGCACTTTGTCTTGTGTGGAAATTGCAACTCGCAGCTGTTTCCATGGGGTGAGTGAAATTATGATGTCCTGTGAAATGATTGTCAATGTTGCTGGTTGATTAAAATTGTAAGCATATCACCATATAACATACACCAGTATCAACTTCTAAGGGGCAGGACTGATTGTCAGTCTGACAGTATAGGAGGATTTATAGCTATAGAAAAGGTCCTCAGAAAGACTACTGAAGACTTGCATTTATTGCAAGCCTTTTGGAGCCCAGTAACATTTTACATGAAAATCTATGCTAGCAGAGTCCAATATTGGCTTTTATTAAGAATTATAGACGAGAAACCACTTCTTTTGATGTAAACAGCTGAACTTGAGACATGTATTTTTTCCAGGTTCTGAATTCAGCAATTGTTGAAGAAAAATTCTTGTCTTGGCTAAGATCGGAGCCTGCTGTTCTCCTGTGGCTCCCTACGTGTTACAGATTATCAGCCACAGCAATGGTTTCGCACCAAGCCAGATGTAAAGTCTGCAAAATTTTCCCCATTACAGGCCTCAGGTGTGTGAGTAATCACTGTTTGCATACCTTACAGGCTCTAACTGCTGTATTAAGCAAAAATCTTTGGACATAATCTAATTTAACAAGTAAGATAGGAAAAGAAAGAACCATCACAGCCTAGTGCTCAAGCCTGCATCCTGCTTCTCTTTAGCTCACTAGCAGACATGATCATGGAGATTTACTGAAAGTAAACTGGTAGTTCAGCGGTAAAGCAAATTAAACCTGTGTATCTCATTTCTTAGTTCTTTATCCCATAATCAGGTGTATCAGCTGGCTAGTTAAGTTATCCATCTTAGCATCTTACTGATCTAAGTAATGGTACAAAATGGACTAATGGTATAAAAAGAACACTATCCATTACATACTGACCAGAATGTTCAGAAAATCATTTTACTGTTCCTCTCTTCTCACTAATAGCAAGCCTGCAGGTTTAGTTTTTTTGCCTTTTGGGTTTTTTTTTCAAAGTTGCAAATCCTATGTCAATAATGTAATGATATTACAGTTCCATGAGAGCAGCAAATAGAGGTAAGTTGAGGGCTCAGAAACATATGAAAATACAACTGCATTCTCAGGAACTGTGCTCGAAAAACTGTTTCTTCCTTGAACTGAATTATATAAATAATACCAATATCATTAGTGGGTTCTGGAGAAGAACAGAGCAAAATAACTCTTGAATTCAGAGAATGCCGAAGCAAGTTGTTCTAACAAAGATGCTTCTCTGCATTTCTTAACCCAGGGATCTGCATTTCCAGTAATCAAGCTCACTTACACCAAATTATTACTTGTGGGGAAGTAACTTAATCCTTCTGTTTTCCCTTACAGGTATCGCTGTCTGAAGTGCCTCAATTTTGACCTTTGCCAAGTCTGCTTTTTCACTGGACGTCTCAGCAAACCACATAAGAGTTCACATCCTGTTATGGAACACTGTGTGCAGGTGGAGTCCCATTGTACTGATTCATTTCCCTGTTCAGGTTTTTCATGTAGGCAAGTAGGCAGTAGACTCTTGAAGTACGTTGATTATGAAATTCTGTGTGTATTACCCATAATGGGCATGATATATTAGGGAGTCAGGAAAAGGAAAAAAAGGAACTTCTAACGTTAGATGGAGTGTTTAGTTAGAATAGAGCCATGAAATGCCATAGTGCAAGTCCTCTTCCTAAGGAGTTTTATGGCAAGTCTGCTATTCGCAGATTATCCTTAAACCTGAGGAAAGGGCACTCAGTGTGCCTCAGTGATTCTTCTTCTCAATCCCCATGTGGACTCATTCAGAAATTGATTAATCTTAAAGTTATACAAAATCCTGCATGAAATGTCCTTTTTTTCAGACCTTTTTCACTTTATTGCAAGCTATTTGGACTCATTTGTCTCTGTCAGGGATACAGCTCAAAGAGGCGGCATGGGCCCAGCTAAGTTCACATCACATATTTGGGCTCTGTTACAGGGGCAACTTATACTGTCGTCACACTGGTGGCAAAGTTCAACACTGTGAATTTGTGTTTGGAAGATGAGGTTTGTTTCAAAATGAAATCCTTCCCTCTCCTATACTGTCTAACGTTGAGCTTTCCCATATTATTGCTGCAATATTGCAACTGGATTAGTGAACTTAGATTTCCAGAAGCCTTTTAGAAGCCTTACTCTAATATTAACCATGTAAATATTTTTTTTTTTTTCAAAAATCTACACCAAAATTAAAAAGATAAGCTACTCACTCACTATGACAGATAACATTTTTATCTTCTTTGTGTGGGACATAGAAGAATCAGTGATAAACCACTTTTCCCAAACCTTCCACTCTTAGCTGATGCTGTCCTTGGCTGCGTAAGTTACCAGGGAGTGGGCTACTGTGGGGATTTGAAATACCAGCATCGTTTTCCCTTTCCATGCTGACACCTTGTGGTAATGCTATTACCATGTTGAGAAATTTCTAGGAGACATGCTGTTTGCTCTCTTTGTGTTTCCCTGTTCAGTCTGTCAGGGCTCAACCCACGTTCTGCAGCAGTCACTTCCTGGGACAGAATTGGTTTGTGTCCTCCTATAATACAGCTGCTGAGCTTAGTTGTTGTACCTGAGCCTGACACTGCTGTGACAAATGGAAGTGTGGGTTTTACTATACTGTATGAGAGCAGGACGTGAGGCACAGAAGGCTGTACATATTAACACTTCATACAAGTATAAAAGTACTTCCTCCCATTGATCAAGAGGGAACTTTGATACTAGTCAGGCAGAATTACTGTTGTGACTATGAGCTTAATCACTGTAGCTACCAGAATACTGGATTAGGCATTTCCAGGCTGCCTCATTTTGGCCCAGGCAGAGTCTTTTGCTTACTTAACAGAACTGGAGGCATTTTTGCCTGTGGTCCTGCATTATCATCCACCTCAGCTCCCCTTCCAGGGCTCAGGCAGTAGCCATGAGCCTCTTCAATTGTTGAAGAGGTGGACCTTTGCTTTCTTATGCCTCGTCTTTGCCTTGGACTGTGTCTACTTCTGGGCAGTGCCTGTTTGAAAATTCACTTGCTTCTTTATTATCCCTCATTCCAATAGATGTCAGCAAAGGCGAATGCAAAGCACTTTCTCCGCACCATCAGAAATAACCTGATTCTAGATTGCCGCAGGAGAAAGGAGTCTCAGAGAAGGAGGGCTCTGGAGGCAGTGGAGGAGACGTACTTCCATACCCACAAAAAGACTTTGTGAGTTTCTGTTTCCAATGAGGTTATGATCTCCGAATAGTATGCCAGGCTGTGGACATTGCTTGATGATGTCCTTCCAGTAAGTGATTTTGTTATGCAGACACCATATCATGATTTTTCCATTAAAAAGGGAGATCATAAATGGGAAGCTGCTGCACATTGTTCTGCAGCTTAACCATGATAACCATGTTGACAGCGTAATGACCAGTTGCCTTATAAAAGATAACATGCTTGTGTCTTACTTCCCTCATTCCTTATGTCCTCTCTCTCTCCATGCCATTTTTTATGCTCAGTCTAGTGTCAACCGTTGCAAATGTTTAGTACTGGTTTTAAGCAGCTCCTCTGTGACAAACTCATTGGAAATTAATTGTGAATGCTTTCCACATGAGACCCACAGTGAGTTCACTGACAGTCATTCTACCCAAGTCCCACTGAGTTGCAAATCCCACAAAAAAATTTTGGGATTGCTCAAAATAGTGAGTAGCCGATATCAGTATTCCAATTCTTTCAGATCGGTTCTATCTGCTTTTAGTCAACATTTAAATTAATTACTGTATTTCCATTGGTCACAGTGGTTAATAGTGAGCATTGGAGGTCATGTTGTGACTTTCCCCTGCAGTTTTTCCTTCGTTGCTCTGAGGTTTTTGTTGATATTTAGGTGTAGAAACTGAAGGGAGTGATAATATGAGGTAATCACTACGAACATACAAAGGATGAGATTCCTTCCCAGTTGTGTAAAGACCCAGCAACTCTCTTGCATCTAGCATGTGTTCTCCAAATCAGGCTTCAGTGAGACTGAAATAGAGAAAAAATGATCACTCCTCTCTGAAATAATTAATTTAATTCTTGTGTGAAGCAGGAGAAAAATCTGTTTATAAAATGTGATTATGCTACACTGCTTAGGTAAGTACGTTGCTATTAGACACCAATTTTTTATATACAGTAAAGACTAATGGATGATAGTTACAGTGATGCTTATGGAGAAAATTATTTCAGTATTTGTTTTTTAGACTGTGGTAAAATGCAAAACATTTTTCACTCCTAACATTTCCTAACTAGTGACAAAAAATATTTCTTCATTTTGAAAGTCATTTAATCCTTCTGGGAACAATCAAGATTTCTCTGTAATACTGTGGGGGGTTGCTTGCCTAATGCTTTGGTAGCAATGACAGAAAGAAGAATTTGTTTGGGGAAGCTGTTACAGGTGTTAGTGGGGCTGATAGGTATCTGGACTTTTCCTAGCACAGGCCTGACCAGCAGGGTATCTGGTCCTTTGCTATCTTTTTGTAGTTGAATTTCCGAACATATTTAGATCTCTGCTAAAGGAACCAAAAAAGACAAGCAGCAAACTGCTGATATTAACTGGGTGGAAATAAGAACCTGCTGCTGAGATTCTGTTGAAAGGGTGAAATTTGTTTTCATTCTTTCAGCTAAAATATGCCATCAGACAGCTAAACTGTACTTTGTGCTTATTCAGTGGCCCAGCTGTCTATTTACAGTGCATTAGTTTTATTTTGATCTTTCTAGGTACCAAAACCATATAATGCTTGATCCTTTCTCTACTCTTTATTTCTTTGTTGGTATACAGTCCCCTGGAAGAACTCGGTGCTTCACCACTACCTGGCCCTGAAAACCTGTCTTTCCTAGTGGACAGACCTGTCCTAGAGTCAGCAAAGTTCATATCTGAAAACAGAACTGTAGTGCAGAAGAGTGAAAATAACATCAAGACACCAGAGCGAGGCAAGACAGAAATTCAGGTGAAAAAACCATGAACCTGAAATAGTGCTAAAGCTGTGAAGAAGACCTACCAAGGAAACTATCTATTTGCCTTCTAATTACCAGTGAAAAAGAAACGTGATGGGCAGCTTCAACCTTCTGTTAATTGTTCATTTACAGAAAAAATGTGGTCTGAAAACTTAGTGAAGCTTCAATTTGATACCTTCCCCAGATTAGTGACTAACTGTTTGACTTCAGTGACCTTGAGAAGTATTTTTAAGAATATTTGCTCTGTTAGTTTTTACTTTTTCCCAAGTGGTCTTAGTTAAAGACAACATTAAAGACAAGCTAAGACTGAGGCCTCTCTCTATTCTGACAGAAAAAAATGCCATCCCGTCTTCAAACTGCAGGCAAATGTCAAGGAAGGACACCTTAATTCTTATTAGACTCAGGCCATTTTTGTCACCATGGCAATAGCCAGAGGACAGAATGGGCCCTTCTTCAAGATAAACCCAGAGTAGTGTTCACTCCAACTAAAATAACTCATGCATAAAAGCTCTCCATTAATCCATTTCCAGGTTCCCTGCATAGAAAGAATGCTAGAGGAGAGGGTAGGACGATGTAGGTAAAAATAAGTGCAGAGCAGTGTTTTGTTTCTATATTTATATGAGAGGTTAGTAGCTCTGCATGTACTCAGAACATAGGGAACACTGGGTTGTGTTCAAACCATTTTGTGTTATCCACTCGTCTTGTCCTTCCCAGAAACCAGGGGTGCAGTAGCTGAAAACTAGCATGTGCATGTCAGGTCATTCAGGCTACCACTCCTGTCATGCATTTTGGAAGACCTCTCTTTTAGGACTCTGCTGCCCAGCTTGAGCCATAGGGGCAGCCAGCTCATATCTGCAGGAGAAGCAGTAGGCAGACACTACTTAAGCATACAATTTTGATGGCTGGCATTTGTTGGTTTAGAAGACATTAAGATGGGACTTGCATCCCTGCATTGGGATTCTGTCACATGCGTTGCTCTCTTGCTCATTTTCTCTCAGGGTTGAGAATTCTTTTAGAGCAGTTTTATACTGATTTCCAACATCTTGTAGTGCAGATTATTTCAATGCCGCTTAAAGAGATGCAGAACATAAGTCAAATTATAGGTTTTAATAGAATCCAAAAGCTTGGAGGTGCTGGGGCCCCAGCTCTTAGCCTTAAAATTTCCTAGCAGCCTTGATTCCAGCCCAGTTTATACCATGCCTCTAAAGCAGCTTACCTCTAATGCAGTGTTTGTCTCTCAGACTTCTGGGCTACTGTCTCCTGCATGGTCCAAAGACTTCTATTTCCATTCAAAGACCAGGAGCTTCTCTCTTCTACATCCAGTCCCTCCCTCCATCTCCTTGTCCCAGAGCAGTTGTGGGACTTCACAGAGTCATAGCATCACAGAATCACAGAATGGTTTGGGTTGGAAATGACCTTAAAGATCATCTCATTCCTGCCATGGGCAGGGACACTTCCCACTACACCAGGTTACTCAAAGCCCCATCCAACCTGGCCTTGAACGCTGCCAGTGATGGGGCAGCCAAAACTACTGCTCAGCTGATTCAAGTGTTTCACTACTCAAATCAGAATATTCCATTTAGCAGAAATTCCAGGGAATGAGGATTTTGTTTTAACGTAAAAAAAAGCAAGTTCTCATACACTTAGAATTCATCACAGGACAATAAATTTGCTTTATAGAGTAAATTTTGCAATCAGTTCTAATAGCCATTAGAAATTCTTTAGTGCATCAGATGACTGCAATCAGTTAGTAGTTAGCTAAAAAATCTGCTAATATATCTGCAAGACACACCAAATTCCAAATTTGCCATGCCCTCTTGTAGCAAAATTTGCATAGAAAATGAAATGTTATTGCTGGTAAAGTTATGAACAGATACTTTTCTTTACAGGCAATAGCCTCTTCTGAAGCAGATGTGTTAAAAATGCATGAATCCATTAGAAATATTTGTAATGAGAGCAGGTAGGTAAATGCAGTGGTATGATGACTGAATCTACTCTATTTCCTACAGTATGTTCAGTTCCCTCTGTTCCTGTTTTGTTTCATTCTCATGAGTCAATGTACAATTATTGCTCCAAATTCACACAAGGGCACCCCAAGACTAGGTCAAAAACAATTGTATTTTCATTGTAAGTCTGTGTCTTTACACCACTCTATTCTCACATGAGAAGAGAAAGAGATATGACAAAGATCTTCAGCTTTCATTTAGATTAGCACTAGTTGAGAGGATATCTGGGAAGCCTGCTCCTGATACACTGCATCACCCTCTGACCCAGAGCTTATCATACAACTGGGTGAATGAATCACATTACTCATGGAAAGCTCTTTGTTCTTTTTTCTGAACTAACTTCCAGCATTTATGTGACTGTTCACAGAACTGGGCTCTGAGTTAGTTGAAGGTAGTCACCATATTACAGTAAAGACCCTTTAAATGCTGTTCTGAGGGACCACTGTAATACTAATTTTAATTTTAAAAGGCTTGGCTTGCATAATTCCAGTGAAATTGATGTGGCTTTTGTCTGTGGCCAGCACATACCCAAAAGGAAGTGAATTAGATGAACTTCTGGATGTAACTAAGTAAATGAGATCACTTTTTCAGCTGTGTGTTGTGAAGTAGTTGGTTTAGTACTACAGTGTCAACAAGCTTTTCTGTCAGTCTCCACCTTAGCCGTGGGGAAAACAAAACTGTATTTCAACCCCAATTTCTTAGAGAAATCCTAACTCTAGAGCAGAGATTTGTGTGGTATTTTTGTCAGACTGTGCTCCAAGTAGGTAGTTTCTAGTGGCGTGTGTGGGAGGGTGGCACTTCTCACTGCAAACATCAAAGGATCTTTTCAAGGACAAGTGGCCTATGCAGGAACTATTCATATCATCAAACAAGCTACACAGAAGGAACTCAGGCAAAGGGACAGAAGCTGCTTTTACTCCTTTGCTGCCCAGGTGGAAATGATGGGAATCTTCCAGGCTGGGGAGTTGCCATAAGTGGTTTGCTTTTAGACAGAGGGACTGCTGTAATGTCTCTCCTGTTGCAACCACCTTTATGGGAAAAGTAAAACCCCAAGATGCAAGGCCCAGTCCTGGCTATAGTTCCACTCAGTTCGCACCTTTCCTCATCTAAAACACTCCTGTTGTTGCTAATTCCATGGCTACAGCCCAATTCCTGTAATGCTGGCCTCTAACCCCAAGGCTGACAAAATTTCCTGAACTGACAAATAGGAGAAAGCTTGTGCTACAGTGTTTGCTCTTTTCCATGACTGCATATGTTTGTGTGTGTGATCTAGCAAAATTCCCACCTCCTATGTCCCTTGGCAGGTACATGAAGAAGCAGTTCAACAAGTGGAAGGGCAAAATGCAATTTCTTCACAACTGTCAGGAAGAAAAAAGCTGCAAAATAGAGGCAAAGCTCCAAAGCCTGAGAGCAAGCCATGAAAACCTACAAATGAAGTTGCAGCAAATGAAGCAAGAAGTAAAGGTATAGTGATAAATAGAGCAAAAATATTCATAGCTATGGGCAATTACTGGACACTAACTACTCCTTCTGCTACAGACCAGAAGTCTTGATACTATTTTGTGCACCTTCCACTTGTCTGCTTAAGATCTTGCCTTCAGAGGAAGCAATTAAGATCTTTGAAGCAGGGATTTACTTGTCATTTTGTATATATTTTGCATCAAGCGCAGATACCAATGTCTGGGATATTTAGATACTATGGCAGTTAAAATAATGAGAGGATATTCCAATATAGTAAGAAGATGAGTGAGAAAATGGTTTCCAAAAGAAATGTTAGATACTCCATTGCAGTCTTTTCTTTAGAGAAGAGTTCTGTGTTGGCGCTGAATAAATAAAATACTTTTTACTCAAACAGAAAATATTTTATTTCCTTTAAATTGTATTGACTCTTATTTATTTAAGATCTCTTTCAGGTTCTAAAAAGATCCTTATTTCACAGGGAATGCATACATGTTTGCCGCCTGCAGCATGTTTGTAGCAATTTCTTCAATGCTCCTTTTCATGTGTTTTTCAAGGTTGGCCAAATACACAGAAAAGCCAGACACATTTGCACTGTACATTTGGCCAGCTTTATAGCACTTGCACATGGAGTCCAGTATGACCTGGCATGTCATACTGTTCATGTGCATGCTGTGACACTGACCTGTCCACAGCTTGCAGGACTGGCTCCACGCATGCAGTTAAATGTTCAGTACATGCACAGTCAGCTCAGTGACCCCAGTTACACCAGACTCGGTGTTCATGCAGTGGATAGTATTTGCCATCATAGTTCTGTCTAGAAAATTCAAGTACAATGGTGGCACTGACAACCAACCTAGTTTTGGAATTCTGAATGTTAACAGGTGTGAGGTGTTCGATATGTGTTAAAAATACCCATATATTTTTCACTTAGTGCAATTCTTCTGTAACAATTTTCCTGCAATTTTACTCTCGAAATGTTATTATTCTCACTTTTCAATGGCATTAAAGCATATAATGTCTTCAGATTGAAATTGTGGAAAAAATGGCCACATAGATTTGTCCAAACAAATTTTGTTTTATTTTATTGCAGGATAATATTTTATTCATGAAAAGAATTGGTTTAGTTCACCAGACCCGAAATTATTTTCTTACCTATTTTAGTACTGTCAGCAAATGAAAATATCAATGATTTTCACAATGTAGGTTCTGTGTATGTTGTAGACAATGTTCCAGTCATCAGAGCATCCTTTTGTACAGAGTCAATATATGATGCCAAGAAGTCCTCACATCCTGCTGGAAAGGACACTGCAGGCTGGATTGAATCCTGCCCAAATAAGACCTAATTCCAGAACATGTTCAGACTGGAAATCTCCGAATTCCTCCAACTCCACAAATAGAATGCAGCTTTTACAGACACCTGAAGTTCCCACTGCAGTGGACTTAATCTCAGAAGACCCACTGGAGTCAGCATCCCTGAAGAGCAACAGACCTCGGGATAAAAAAGCAAAAGAGAATCAAACACATATGCCTGAATTGACAGAAAACTCCCACAGGGACATCATGAGGAATACAGTTCTTACTCCCATTGCAGTGAAGATACCACTTGATGAGAAAGAAGCCAGTGAGGAAGTGGAACTGCAGCAGCTAGTGATGAAACTAAAGGATGCAGTGTCTCTCCAATCCCAAGCAGGTATAAGCTCTCCCAGGTATCTTGACACCGTCTTCACACCTTCATCCACTTTATAATGTAGTTCATAATCATTTAACCCTCAGAGGAGACCCAGATTCTTGCCTTTGCCATTGTAGAAATATGCCAGCTGTATAGCGTAAGGTAGAACATATTCCTGTAAGGTGAAATATAGCTCCTTATGTTGGACTAATTTGAAACAGGATGAGTCAAAGTGCATGAGAGGAAATCAGTCTTGGCAGTCAGTTAAGGAGCAAACTTATAGTTGAGGGCACTGGAGGTCTTCTCTGTTTCCCCTTCTGACACTGTAACTATGAATCTAGTCTCTGGCAGACTTCCAGCAGTACAAAATCCCTTTGTAGGATCAGTGGTCTTGCTTAGAGCTTTGTTCAATGGTCAAGATGTCTCACTTTTGATAATGAGGACGTAAAAAAAAGAATGATGGCAAAAACTGCTGTTTCTAAAAAATTGGAAATTTACAGTTTTTAGGGCTCTGACAGCACCTAAATGGTCTGAAAGTCTTAAAATCTGTTCTACTTTTCAGCTCAACAGTCTGCTTTGCAGCAGGAATTCTTCTCTACAGCTGAACATGTTAGCAGATCCTTTTCTGACCTCATCAACCAAGTGATTTCACCAGCTTGTAAATGATGGAAGCTACCACTTGCCCTTACAGCTCCACTGAACTATTGAAGGTAACTGATGTCATATCAGACTTTTAAAAGTGTCTCAGATGTTTTGCTGTAATAACCCAACATAACAGACTTCTGCATTTACTGACTTCACCAGGGACCATAAATAGTGTTAAGAGAACGACATTCTTAACACTATTGGTGGCTTCTGTTGGTGGCTTCCAGCTCCTGTGCAGTAGGTGTTAGCCCAGCTGATAAAAATCAGCATGTCTTCATTAATGTTACACAGGCTTTAACGACTGTCCTGCCCTGTCTTCTCTTCTTAGTGCCGTATAATCCATAATGGCTTGTCTTTCAGGAACATTTTTTTTTTAATATATATGAGTTCTGTTAACTGGTTTCAGTGGTGTATTTGCTATCACATCATTGTTTCTTAGATTAAAGGAAGAAATGAGTTCTTAATTGTCAGACTTCCCAATATTTGGTATTTATATAATCATATTTTTCCAAACTACTGAATTAAATGAAAATATGCTTTGAACACTTAAAGTAATTTAATTGGTTTAGAAGAGCCTTTCCATTCCTGATTAACTTACATATCTGGGACAACATTGGAATAGAATGCTTAATTTCCCACAAAGATTTTCCTGGTCTTGTATTTTTCAGAATTAATTATAATCACCAAGATAAAGGGACAGACTGACTCATTAAAATGGCTAGAAATCTTGTTTCCTGTTGGTAGCACCTCAGCCACCTTCTTGAAAGGCCTTATACTGTGGTAGTGATAGCAATAAACATTCCTGGTTATTTCTGCTAGTTTTGGTCACAGGAGGCCTTAATTACATGTACTGCAAACATCCAAGAATTACAGCAACAAATAATGGTATGCAACTGGAAGCTGACAAGTAGCTTGTCTCTAGCAAAGGAAGTGTGATGCAGCTCAAAAGTAGAGAAACTAACTGAGGGTGAGGACCCCACAAAACACATAGGGATGGGGTCCCTAGAAAGTGGATACTTGTATTATCACAAACAGAATATAGTGTGAGATAAAGGCTTAGTAGCTTTTGCAATATACCAGTGCCAAGAGATACATACAATAAAGAACTTCTGATAATGGGAAAATATCCATCAGCTTCTGTTGAGACTTTAAGTTTCCTTCAAGCATGAGTGCATGTGGATTACAACCAGCTGGAAACAGTGATAGCTAACAAAAACTGGTTTGGTCTGATGCCACACAGACTAGGTCTGGAGCACAAATTCTTACAACCATATTCCTGAACCACCACGAACTCTTACTTCATGGCAGCGCATAAAGACTCAAGGAAGTGTTTTTCCATGCCAACAAGCAGCTGTTTAACTACGAGGTCCTTATAAGATGAAAGGGACAAAATCCCAAGGCCTTTATTTTGTTGCTACTCAGTTCAGCTGGCAACAGATCAACTTCAGACGTGTTCATTCCATTGTTCTGACACACACAGACTGAGAAACAATAAGCCAGGAACCGTACCTACAAAAGCAGTCCTAGCACACCCCAAGATCTGCTAATGAAATTTAAAGGGCAAAGTAGTAGGAAGTGATATCCTGTCTTTAGACACAGAGACATTTTGAATTACTCCTGTACATCAAATCCGCTTGCATCTCACACTCAAAGCACTTTTTTTTTTCCTTAACACAGCCATCCTAGAAGGTCTCAATTTATAGTGAGTAAATCAGTAGCAAACATCAGCATCTTCTGATTGTGTTTTAACACCAAAATTGTTGAGACCTGGACAAAAGCAAGCAAGACTTAAATTATAAAATAGAACTATGCTCTGAGACCTTCAGAGAGAAGAAATTCCCTGAGGTAGGCGTTCCTTCAGGAGCTTTATCACTTACAAGTTTACATGTCATTAGTTGCATCCCTTTTTTATTTCGGGACAATTAATAACACAGATTATCTCCTTTATGTCAGCACTTTTCAAATGTTCAATGGGGAAACTATGTGTGACCTATGCTAGAGATTCATCTGTTTTCTCAGTCTTTCCTCTATGTACTAATCCTTTCCTGCTCATTTCCCCAAAGGATGCTACAGCCTGCTAATTAAGAAGCCTGCTGAAGTAGAGAAGTGTTGCAAATTTGTTTAAACTAAACATCAGTTGGGCCCATAGTGGCATTTCACCATTTCTGTTATCTGAAGGGAAGAGGAAAGCTGCCCGCAGCCCTTCCCTGGGGGATCCTGTTGTTGCAGGAAGGATGTATCTAAAGTAGAAGCACTAGCCTCTTACAAAGGGGCCTTTGGAAGAGCATCTAAGATAAACAGTACCTGTTCAGATAATCTGTCTGGTTTCAGCTTTTCTAGAGCTTGAGAGCGCATGGGAACAGGTAACATCTGGTCTGCTACAATACCAATCCTGTTTGGCTGAGACATCCAGCCCTTAAATTCCTTGTTAGTTGCTGGTCTTAAGAGCTGTAGGGACTGTGGGTGAAGGCTGTGTCTCTTATATTAGTACAAAGTCGCGCACAATGGGGCTTTTAGATATATTTATATAAATTAGATAATTAACAACAGTAGGATAGGAGTGAGGGTATCTGCTGTTAACACTGCTCTCACCTCCGACATGGTAGCAGAGCACTCTTGTAGGTGATGGCTGCAGGCAGAGGCAGCTGGGAGGATGCTGCAGAGTGTTCTAAACTGTGTGTTCCTGTGTTCATCCTGCTTTAGTGTTCTCTCCTCTCTTGAACATTTAAATGATTTGTTACATGGGTAACTGTCATGGTTTAACCCCAGCTGGCAAACCAGAACCACACAGCTGTTAGCTCACACCCCCCTTTCCTCCCCCATCTCCCAGAGTGATGGGGAGGAGAATGGAAAGAATGTAACTCCCATGGGTTGAGATAAGAACAGTCCAGTAACTAAGGTGTAACACAAAACCACTGCTGCTACCACCAATAATAATCGTGGTAAGGGAAATAACAGGGGAAGAGAATACAACTGCTCACCACCCGCCAACCGATACCCAGCCCGACCGAGCAGTGATCTAGCCCTTCTGGGTAACTGCCCCCAGTTTACATCCTGGGCATGACGTGCTGTGGTATGGAATACCTCTTCGGCCAGTTTGGGTCAGGTGTCCTGTCTCTGCTTCCTCCTGGCTTCCCCTCCTCCCTGGCAGAGCATGAGGCTCACAAAGTCCTTGGTCAGCATAAACATCACTGAGCAACAACTAAAAACATCAGTGTTATCAGCACTGTTCCCAGGCTGAAAGTCAAAAACACAGCACTGCACCAGCTACTAAGAAGGAGAAAAATGACTGCTGCTTCTGAACCCAGGAGATTAAGTACAAATTCTGTGCCACTGAAGATGATAACCCTCTTACAGTTTTTTGCTGCTTCCATAAGGTCAGGATTTCATCTAACGGAACTGTTTAAGCTTTATTTTATTCAGGCCCAGTAACTGTTTTAAGATTTCATTTACATATTGTGCTACTTGAACCTATTTCTGCAAGTTGATGAACACTCAGCAAATCACTTTTTCTTCGGGCATTTTGGAAAAAAAAACAACCAAAAAACCCAGAAACATAAAAACCCCAAACCCAAACAAACCAAATATTGCCACATGTTGAAGGAAAGCAACTTTGAGTTAACAACTGAATGTAATTGCCCTGGAAAGCTTAATTTTTTAGCTGCATTCAGCCACCCAGGCGATGGAAATATTTCATTTCATCAAAGCATCAAATGTTACCTGCCCAAAGCTATGTTGCATCAGTTTAATATCAGACTGCCTATTAGAGTTCTGAGTAACAGTCACAGAGGAAACTGATTTGTCTACAAGGAAGCTGCAAATTAAAAAATATGCAAATTCAAGTTATGCGTGAGAATTCTTTTAATTAAGCACTTTAAGTGATGTTTTTATTAACAAAAATTAGGGAAAATACTGTAAAAACCAGCATATTAAAGCACACAGAGAAGCTGCTGGTAAAACCTGTTAACACTTTTACTAGAAAACCAAAACCATCTTCTTAAGGTGTTTTTAATATAAAAATATGTACTACTTTTCCTTAGTAAAAACCTTCAACAGTGGTTGCTTTGTACAAGCTTACAGCTATGCATACAATAAAACATCACCATCTTGACTCTAATCCTGTCTTGGAGCCAGTGGAGGTTTTTGGCAACTTCCTCCTCTGCTTGTCTATATTTTATTGAAGGATCAGTTATTTCCTGTTTTGGCACCCAAAGGCCAATAGTTTGGATAGGTCACATGCATTACAAAAAGCCTGATATACACACAGATTAAAGTAGGCAACTGCTTATAAATCATGCAGTTTATTAAGGAGTCTGAATTCATAAGCAATTAAAAAATCCCACAAGTCCAAGTTAATCAGAAATCAGTGCTCATAGTTACAGGCCTTCTTCCAGCATATAAATTGACATCAATGAGGATTAAAATGCAAAAAACAAATAAAGAGAAGTAGCTTAAACGTATACACAAATCAAGATCTTGGACTAAATGTGTCATTTCCTCTTTTTCCCTAGCTCTCCAGTGATTCTTCCAAGTAATGTAGATATGCTCTTATGCATGTGGATACTTATTAAATCTTCAAACAAGTCTTTCTTCTTCAGAACTGGTGACCTCTGAATATGAGGAAATATCCCTGAAAAATTACATGAAGATGCATATATGTAATCAGTTTCCAAACAGTAAAGGGCAGCTCAATACTCAGTTTCCTACATCCATGTTTCCTCCATCTTTAACTGCCGGTCCCTATTTTATCAGCATTGCCCCCAAGCCCCTTGTTTTAGTGATAGCCATGACCCTCCATTTGCAAGTTGCCTTTTAGTGACAAGTTACTTTGATCTTTTCCCCCAGCATAGACCTTTTCCTTCAGTGTTCCTATAAAATTCTTCCATTTGTAATTAGCAGAGTCTAAGCACTTGAGCCTGGTCACAGCCTTACTGACTGACTGGCTTGTCATCAACCTCCCTGCACAGTGGATGAGATCTCTCACATTGTTTAGTAGCACATATGTTTTTTCCTTGAGAAACTATGGGGCATTTTCTTTGAAATGATCTCCAAAAGCCCACACTTGGCTTTATTTCTTTTACACACATTTGTCTTCTTAAAGACTGTTTAACACAGTATCTGTTTATTTACCAGACCTCAGATGCATAATACAGCAGCCTTTGCCCCGCTACCCTCCCTTGCACCTGATCTGAGGTGCTGATTTGAGCCTCATTACCTGCACCTGTGAGGGAGGTGTGCACAGCTGCAGCCACTCTGAGTAGCAAGGTAGCAGGGGCACGGCTAGGTGAGGAGAAGAGAGGCAGAAAAGAGGTGGAGATGTGTTTTTGGTTTTGTTGTTGTTGTTCAAGTGTTTATGGAGGGGATGTGCTACCTGGCTTCTTGAAACAAGTCTTCTTGTCCAGGTGCTCCTTGGGAAAATTTGTTGTGAGTACAAAAGCTATATTCTTCTTGTGATTTTTAAGCCTTGTTTTGGCTCGTTAAGAGTTTCTGACAACTATAATGTATCTAACTAGTGTTGTAGTATGCTGGACATGTTTTTATGAAATGTGCTTTTTCATAGCATTCAGGTTTTTTTTTGGGGAAAGGGATGAGCTACTAAAGATATCTTGGCAAGGTAACTGTAAAGGACTCTCCCTACTTGTCTCAGTTTAAAGCTGACTAACACTTCTTTGTGAGATATCTGGGTGTCGTGGTTGAAATGATGCTGGTTAAGTAAGATTTTATCTGGATGGAGGTGGTTTGTCAGATAACTCATATATGGCTGTTCTGATTTTGTTGTATTTTTAATAGATTGTATAGAGTTTAAAGAGTATCTTGAGATCTGTTACTAACTACAGTTAGAAGCCTGGTAAGACTAGAAAACAGTGTTTGCACCCCGTAGTCTGGACTGGAGCTACTTTTATCATTGTCTTGGTGTACACTCAGACAGAATAGTTTTTTTCCCAGGAGGTCAAAGTATTTTGTTCAGTACTACTGTGAAACTTTCACCAAGGCCTTCAGGAAGTTTTTTGCTTGGAGCACTTCTGACTGCTGTGTATTGTTGGTTTTTCTTGTTTGTTTACTTGCTTGTTTGCTTGGTTTGGTTTTTCTTTTTCTTAGA